AGTTGAGTATGTGTATTCAAGAAATAGTACAACATAGAAATGTTTTGAAAATAAAAAATGTTTGATACACCATTGGTTAAATATATATTTTTGACATATTTTCAATTTAATTATTAAAAATATAATATAAATATAATTAATTTAATTGATTACTGTCTCTTATTTGTATTATTATCTTATTAAATTTATTTGTCTTTAATTTTAAATTAAATAATAATAATTTTTTAATAAATATATCTGTTGAATTATAGTGTGTATTAATTATTGTCTTTTAAAAATTTATCATGCAATTATACAGTTGTGTAAGGATTTTTTTTTTTTTTTTTGGGTTAGGTTAGGTTTAGTGTTTTGTATTGGCTTGTGGGTAAAGAGTATTTTACTTTTTCAATTTTTATATTAATTATTTAGTATTCAAAAATCACATTAAATCTTAATTAATTAGAGTTCAATCATATTAGATCCCAAAAATAAATAAATTTTCTTATTATCTGTTTTTTCATTTACAATATTTAAACACAAAATCTTGTTTAAAAAAATAAATTCTTTTTATTCAAATACAGGTCATTGATGTTTTTTTTAACAATATGTCCTTGCAAGTGTTTTTTTTTTTCTTTCTTTCTTTCTTTCAAATATTAAACTTAAAAGTACTTGGGCCTTATGATCTAACGACTATAGATTGGCTCATAAAGTAAATCTTAGGGATGGATTCGAATCTCCTCATCTCTAATTTGTAACCTCATTAAAAATATATATATATATTAAACTTGAAATTTTAATTTCTAGCATAGTAAAGAAGCCCAATTGCAAATAAAAAATCAAAATAATAATAAAAAAAACAGTTTCCAAAACGTAAATTAAACAGTATATATTGTACAATTCATATTAAATTTTGATGCATACTACACAACAATAACTATCAATAGGGAATAATCCCTACATGTAAGGCATTTTGATGCAGACTATGCAACAATAACAATTAACAACCAATAGCAATAATTTGTTGGCTTAAATATAAAGAGTTTAATTTTTTAAAAATAATTTTTAAATTTAAATTTTATAAATAAAAAATAAATATTAAAAAAAATTCTCTTAATATAGCTTGATTTAATTTTAAATTAATTAAAATTTAATATAATTTTTAAATATATATATATATATAACAATTTATAGAGAATAATCCCTAAATGGAAGGCCTTTTACCGACCCACCCTACTCCCCCCACCCCCTCCCAAAAGAAAAAGTGTCAATATATTACGCTTTCCCTTGTATGACAGAAAAAAATGTGTTCAATGTATATCAACCCAACACTTTATAGGAAAAGAAGAAAAAAAAAGGTCAAAAATGGGAACGGAAGTACATTGACATGCGTGCATCATGACTGGTCCATGGACGTTGCTTATTGAAGTTGCTTAGCCGCAAGATGGTCTTTTGCCATTTGCTACAGCTACTCTAACTTAGTTAATGCTACTCTAACTTAGTTAATGCCTGCTGCTCAACATCCTGCATCTGCCACGCATCCTGCCTTCAACATCCTGCATCTGCTACGCACCCTGCCTTCCTAGGCCTACTACCACACGTCTTCCTCCCCAAGGGATAAAGGTCGCGGAAGAAAGAAAAAATAAGTTACATTAATTCTTCCTTTCTCGAATGCAACCAAGCTAAATATATACTTAATCAAACTTGCCCTCATTTTCGGACCAGTGTTCATCGGATAAACCGTCAACAATCATCATATCGTCACTTGTATGAAATATATAGTGCAATATTTATCTCCACAAAAGGCAATAGATAAGAATGATCCTAACATCCACACAAAAAAAGAGAGTCGAAAAACCAACAAGACCCCATCGGGTATTGCCATCTTTTTTTGGGGCGGCTCCGTACAGTAGGGGGGTGTGTACATGCAGAGTCCAATCAAAACGTTGATATGATTGTAATACAGACACTAGGCTTTGTCTTGTTAATTTTCTATCTTTTTCTCCCTGTTTGTGATCTTATTCTTTTCTCCAAATCTGTTCTTGACTTTTTGCATGGAAGTCGATGGCTTGTCTTGGTCTGGCCACTAAAGCAGAACCGATGGTGACTTTGAACAAAAAGTGTGGATCCATGGGGATCCTTGGAAAATGATTTGACACGTTAAAGATATGAAGTTGATTACCTTCTGTTTTTTCTATAAAATTATATAAAATTCATGCATCTAATTTTTAATTAATGTCATAAATCTTTCACACTCAATAAACATTTTTTTTAGACAATATAAGTGTCCACAATATTAATTTAACTACTTAAATATTTAAAGTATAAATAAGTTTTACAAAAATGTTAAAAAACCCTACATACACCGTAGTCGAATCCATTATTAAAATTAAGTTAAGAAGAATAATGCTGAATGGATTGAAAAGTTCATATTAAAATTTGAGATCAATAATATAACATAAATTATATCATTTAAAATATTAAAAAATAAATTATAAATTATTTAATAATTAATTTTTTTTATTTTTAAAATTTAAAATATTATATATATTAATTAATTTAATAATATAACATATACTATACTAT